CTGCATCCATCCAAAACAAATTCCTTCTTCAATCTTATTTTTACTTGAAATTTTTTAGAAGAAACAGCAAACTGAGATTTGTTTTATGCATAATAACACTGGCTCGGCAAATACAAGTTAGTTTGCTTTAGGCAGGAGACTTTTTTTGTAATGGAAGAATGCACTACAAAGTTAAGACAGATTTTTGCCAAGTGCGGGAGGCCCTTTATTATTGCTGCAGAAAACAAAAGCCTGAGTCGATGTTTTACATTCTGCCTTACTGAAATCTACATGACATGATGCTTTGCTGGGTTTTTGTACATGTAAACGTTGTCAGGCTGTGAAAGAAAATGGCTGGAGGTGTGCTTTGTGTGAAAGGTAAGCAATAAAGTATCTGTTAAGTTCTAAAAAAAGAAAAAATTACATAGTCATCTGCTTAATGGCACTCTTCAAAATGCCTAGCCTGTTTATCATTCCCAATAAACACTCCAAAAGTTAAATTTAATTATGATTTTTCTATTTAAAAAAAAATCTCAATTCATCAGAGGCAAGAAAGATTGTATTGCTTCTCATGAATCAATTTAAGATTTATTTATCACCTTAGTATTTCATTCACTCAACCAGTTAATATTACCGAGTCTTCTTCAGCAGGCCAGACATTTTGCCTGGTACCACCCTTGTGCAGTTTTCATTTTTGTCAGAGGGACAGCCAGTTAATTAGCATACAGATTTTAAGAAGGATTGCAGTCACAATGGTGATAGGTGCTTTAAAGAAGGCAATGTCAGCAGGAGCCAGGTGGGTGAGTAGGACGTGGGACAGGGCCATCCCCACTGTTAGGAGGCCCCATTGTGACAAAAATCTGAATGATCAACCCACACATGGAGTAATTTTAAAAGCAAATCATTGTCCCACCAAGATTTTCTTGTGGATATACACAAGATTATTCTAAGATTAATATGGAAGAAAAGGAAAAGGCAGTAGAAGAAAGCAACTTTACAAAAGAAATAAAATGTCTACCCAATATTAAGATTTAGCCTATACATACGGGAGTCAAGATGTCTTATACTGGATCAATGGAGGGTAGAGAACCCAAAAATAAACCCATAGAAGTCTACTGAGTTCATTTTTGACAAAGTGTGAAAGTAATTTGGCAGAGGAAAGATAGTCTTTCATCAAATGGCGCTGCAGCAATCAGAAAGGGAAAGGAAAAAAGAACAAAAAACCTAAACCTACGTCTCAAACTTTATACAAAAGTGAACTCAAAATGGATCAAAGACTGCATGCAGCATAAGACATAAAACTATGAACCTTTTTAAAATTGAAGAAAATCTTTAGGATCTCAAGCTTTGCAAAGAATTTCTGAGACTTGACACCAGTTGCAACACGTACAAAAGGAAAAGTTGACCAATTGGACTTCGCAAAATTAAAGCTTTTGTTTTACAAATAATTTTTTTAAATTAAAAAAACCTGTTTAGAAGATAAAACGATAAGCTACAGAGTGGGAGAAAATATTTGCAAATAAATATAGCAAAAAAGTATATATTGCATGTTTATAGCAAAGGACTGAATAGAATACATAAAGATCTCCCAGAACTCGAGTAAAAATAAAAATAAAAAATCTTATTAGAAAATGGGAAATGCAAATGGGTTATTTGTCTTTTCCTTTTTGAGTGGTATGAGTTCTTTATTTTGGGGGGCACTAAGTTCCTTATCATACACATGATTTGCAAATATTTTCTTAGTCTGCACCTTCTTGAATTGGCTCCCATAATATGTGTATGAGTGATCAGTTTTTCTGCTTTCTCACCTGTACTTAGAGATGATGTCATTATGGAAAATGGGAAATGTTAATAAGATGTGAAGAAACTGGAATCCCTCTTACATCGCTAGTGGAAACACAAATTGGTATGGCTGCTTTGTACAATAGTTTGGCAGTTTCTCAAAATGCTAAACATAGCATATGACACAGTATTTGCACTCCTGGGTATATACTAAAGAGAACTGAAAACATGTGCCACATAAAAAAATTGTATACAAATGTTCTTAGCAACATTTTTCACCATAGACAAAAAAAAAAAAGGAAGCAACTCAAATGTCTGTCAACTGAGGGATGGATAAACAAAATGTGGTATATCCAAACAATGGAATATTATTTAGCTATGAAAAGGAATGAAGCACTTACAAACGTTACAACATGGATAAATCTTAAAAGGATGCTAAGTGAAGGAAGCCAGACACAAAAGGCCACATGTTGTATGAGTCTATGTATATGAAATATTCAGAATAGACAAATCCACAGAGGCAGAAAGCAGAATTGTGCTTGTCAGGAGCTAGGGAAAGGAGGACTGGGGAGTGACTGCTAATGAGTATGGAGTTTCCTGTTGTGCAACAAACATGTTTAGAAATGAGATAGTGGTGTGGCTGCACAATTTTATGAATGTACTACACTACACTGAGTTGTACACTTTAAAAGGGTGAACTTTATAATGTGTGCATTATATTTTAATAAAGCTAATTAGATAGATGGATTGATAGATTGATAGATAGATAGATGTAGTTACTACAGGTGGCAATTTCTTCAAAAAAGAATCATACCATTACCATATGACCATGCGGGAAGGTGTTCTCTTTCCGGGTCCACGAAGGGGTGTAGTTTTAAGGACAAGAATTTCCCAGCGCCATGCCCCCCTCCCATCTCTCTCCATCCGGGAGATTTAACAGTTTATGTTTGAATCTCGCGGGCGTGGGAAGAAACTCAAAGTCAATCCCCCAGCAGAAGTTTGAAGGAACTCCTTTCATTGGCCAGAGGAGCTTGGGCAGGAGGGAATGTCTCCCCGGATAAATTCTCCTGCTCCTTCACCCACACCAGATTTCCAGCTCTCTGGGATCCCCTCCCACGTGGGGCGAGCCCCCTTTCCCCTCTGGGACTTACCCTCTGGAATCCCCTTCCACGTTCTTTGTGGAAGTCTTTCTCTTCTTCTCCTTTTCTTCTCCTCTCCATCTAAACAAAATCACCTTTCTGCAACACTTCTTGGGTCTGATATTTACTTTTACGAGGTACGGCGCACCTGCAGTGGTCCCATCACTCATTCTTTAAGAGACTGGAGGCCAAGAGCCCACAGCATTCTCTCGGGGGAGCTGTGCCTCACCAGCACCCAAGAAAAAACACAGTTACAACCACACAATTGCACTTGCAGGCATTTATCACAGAGACCTGAGGACTTGAGTCAACAGAAAAACCCGTCTACCAGTGTTTACAACAGCTTTGTTTATAATAGCCAAAAGCTGGAAACAGTCCAGATGTCCTCAATGAGTGAATGTTTAAGGAAGTGGTGGTTCATCCACATCACAGAAGAATAATCAGCAATGAAAGGGACACCCTACTGATGCAGACAGCAGACTGGATGCAGTCTCCAGATAACTATGCTAAGTAAAAAAGCCAATCCCAGGAGCTTATAGCCTGTATGATTCCATATGTAACACTATTAAGACATCAAAAGTTACAGCAATGAAAACAGATTATGCTGAGGAGGGGCGGGGTGGGAGGGAAGTGGATCTGTCTGCAAAAGGCACTATGAGGAATCCTAGTGGTAAAGGAAATGTCCTTCATGTTGACTCTATTGAGACGGGGCGGGGGTGGCGGGGAGCCCTGGAAGCCTGCGGAGCCCAACCTCCTCTTCCTCCTCGCCAGGAGCCCGCGATGCAGGTGCAGGGGGCTGGACTGTGGACGCCCTGATCTCCAGCAGGCGGGCTCTGCTGCCTCCCACTGTGGAGGCCAGAAGGAAGGGCACCTGCACTCTTGCCCCTGGATCTCCTGGAGACTGACCTGGGGTCCTACCCACCTATCCACACCTCCACCCTGCAGCAGGGCCCCTGCAGACTTGGCCTCATTTTCTGGATGAAGACGCAGCACCCCTACGGCGGGGCACACCCACCCCTGCCACGAGCTCTCCTTTACGCACAACCCCAGTGTGAAGCCACCATGTCATCCATGCTTGGCTGTTGTTGGTTTTTGGGACCCTGGCTCCCTAAGGGGCCTGGCTGTCCATTCACAGTGACCGAGAGTGGGTCCCACGCAGCTCGTCAGAGGCCTTGCCCCATCACAGCTCCCACCCTCCAGACCTTCAGGCACCCCCTGGGGTCACACCCCCGGAAGCCCTCCATAATCTACAAGTCTGACCTAAGTACTGGTGACTGCTACCTTCCAATAGAGTGGGAATCCTTAAAATTGAGGGTGGCGTTTGCTAGGGTGGCTTCTACCCAGGATTAATCCCTGGAACAACTTTCTGAATAAAATAAAATAAAAATTGGCTGCATGGTCAATAAACTTGCAACTTTTCCCTTGGAGATAACACAACATGCTGTAATTTCTAGGAAAACTTGCAGTGGAGAAACCGGTTTCAAATTTCTGATTTTATGACTTTTAAAACTAAAATTAAATTAAGTTTTTATCCTAAGAATTTCTGGCTTTTGCCATGGATTCATTTCTGTATGGCCTGGACTCCTGACTGCCCCTTTAGTTTTAAAGGGAATCCACACCTGAAGGAGTCAGATGTGGATTCAGATAACCAAAGCCCCACGCCTGCAACTTGAGTGGCGGCACTGCCTTGCTTCTGCACTGAAAGTTGCAAAGTCTAATTTCTTGGTTTCTAATTATGATTAAATAATTTATATGCTGTACTACATTAAATCAGATCCTGTCAGCCCCTACTCCCCAGCAAATGAACTGTCACTTAATAGAATATTCAAAAAACAACCAATGCGTCTGAAAGATAATTGCTTTCAATTTTCTAAGTTTTCACTTATACAGCATAATAAAGGCAAACTGACATGACCTGACTTTTTATAGACACGGTTGTCCCCAACATCTGGCCAATAGTATCTAAATATTTACAAGGAAAAATTAGGCAAAGAAAAAAGAAACTTTCATTATCCAAGTTGATTTCTTTCTGATGCTCATCAAAATTTTAAAAATAAAATACCTTGTTAACTTTCTAGTCCTTCCTGTTGCCACACTTGCTTCAGCTGGCGGCGTCAAGAAATTTCAGTTTAACGATGTTTTTGTTCCACAGTTCTCCTACTCCTGTTCCGTGCTATTTTAGAAGTTATCTAGAATAGTAAATTAAATATGTAAGTGTAAGCCTTGAAAGGAGAGAGAAAAGAATAGATATATGTAAGATACAAAATTCTCACACTTTACAACCTTGAATGCCAAGATAATAAAATGCTCTCTATATTTTCTATGTATTTCAGTTTAATTTAATAATATTGCAAAAAAAAATTTCTGAAGGGGATACTAGATAATAGCAATGACATTATGACTTTATAAATATACCTTTGCCCTAGTTTTTGCTAAAGAAACAGTTCTTTTAAAGTGACAAATATAAGTTATAACATGAAGCGCTTAAGATTAAGAAGCGTTAGCAAATTACAGTATCTTTTAGCAACGAATCTTTCTCCAGTTAGGCCAAGGACAGACACTGATCATGTCCACACTTGGTTTCATGAGAATGTGTGCTATAAGAACAAATCTTCAATGATAACACTGGCTCCCAGCTATAATCAAGCAAATATTTGTACATGTCCACAGATGTACATTTTTACAGAATAGGCTTTACTGAAATGTTCTTAGGAAAGAAGACTTGAACAGATGAATGCATTCCTTCAATAATATGTTTAAGCACCTTTCAGTGTCAAGTTCCTGAGTTGAGTGCCAGAGGGAACACAAATTTACCTACCACAGAACCTGCTCTCGGAGCTCACAGGAAGACGTGGTAAATCAGCGAATGAATGCAGTAAGATGAAGGAGGTGATGAATTATGTGTGTCACCTGAAATGACAGAAATGATCAGAATCCAGTTTAAAAAGCTTATTCAGGTGAAAAGCTGGAAATGGAAGACAAAGACATCCAGAAGACAAAGACACCAGAGAAATGGGGTCAGTGCTTCGAAGTTAAATGTTGTTTTGCTTTTATATCTAGTGTCAGCTGAAGAATCATGAGGTTTATAAATTTGGAAAGGAGAGCTTTATTTCCCATAAAGGGTTGCAGCCTGTAGGCTGGGCATCCTGTAGGCTGGGAAGTGTAGCTTCTGGCAGAAGCTGGAAGCAGGCACTTCAAGGGAGGGAAGGCTAAGACAGAAACTTCAGTTGAAGTGGTTGGCTAGGTATAGACATTCTATAGGTTATAAGAGGAGCTCTGAATATTTACAAAGGGGAGAAACAGGCGTGTGTAGTAGACTAACATATATGTAACATGCATCCCACATTTACTTTGGGGTGGAGAGTTAACATTTAAATGTGTTATAATTAGATCCTATACATCAAAAGGTGAAGCAGAGGACCTGAAAGCCATCAGTGTGCAGTCTCTTTAAACTGGCCAGAGCCACTCTAGGGTTGGTGGTCTCTCATCAGGAAGAAATGTTAATCAGTTGCTGTCCACCAAACCAGGGGCAGTGTCAGGCAGTTGGTTGGTTGAAGTCAGCAGTCAATAAGTCTTTCAAGAGGGCTAGTTTTTGTTTAAATCTTACGAAAAGAAAGCCTAATGGCAGTTAGCAAAGGAGGGGCTATCATGAGGTGCATCTGACCTCCTATATTGTTGTGGCCGAGAGCTCAGTTTTTTTTAAGGTTTCTCTGGGGTCCTCTTGGCTAAGAGGGGGTCTGTTTAGTCACATAGGGGGCTAAGGATTTTATTTTTTATTTCTCATTAGGCAGAAAACCAAGAAGTTTTAGTAGGATTATAACATTTTCTATGCAAGACTGGTTTATTACTTGCAAAAATTTAATTAGTACAGTGTGCTTTTTTCTCCATGTGGCTTGTTTCCTTCTCTTTGTGGCTAGCTTTTGTTTCCAATTTAAAAGTACACATTTAATATTTTATTTTAGGCAATGTGATAGCCAAAGTCTTTGTGTGAGAAAGGTAAGAAGGACGGTAATCTATAACGAAGGTCAGTAGTGAAGAGGGAAAGGGTCTTTCTTGTCACCCTTTAGTCATTTGCAACATTTTCAAAACACTGTAGGTAAGGAAGAAGGCTAATCTATAATCGGACAAATACAGATTACAGCTGCCTACGTTACAGCTTCCTGTTTGTATGAGTCAGATCCCATAATCACATTTCCTTAAGACTCAAAATATTTTAAAGTTTCAGCAGCTTAGATTTTGAATTACTTATTTTCACATGTGAAGCTAAAGTTTTATAAAAATTCAGAGAAGGAAGCTATGATATTATGAAGTACATATATTTGGTCTTTGCCAGTTTTCCTGGCATCCAACTTTTAATCCTTAGAAACTTTTAAGCTCTGTCTTTTTGTTTGCTGATGTTTACTGATCGCTTCAGGGTATGGTTTGCCACCAGAAAGATAAAGGCATAATTAGAGAGTTAGGACATCCAGTCCCACCTCCTAATCCCGAGGAAGGGAAAGAAGCTGGAGGTTACGTTGATCATCAGTGGCCAGTGGTTTAATCATTCACGTCTACATAATGGAACTGCCATATAAACCCAAGAGGACAGGGTTCAGAGAACTCCCAGATCGCAGAGCCCGGGAAAGTCCTGGAGTGTGATGCCCAGGGAGGGCGTGGAAGCTCTGCGCCTTCGCAGTACCTCCGTCTGCACCTCTTTGTCTGTATCCTTGATGGATGTATCCTTGGAATATCCTTTACAATAAACTGGGAAACACAAGTCGATGTTCCCCTGAGTCCTGTGTACGACTTCAACAAATTGAACTCAAAGAGGGGTCCTGGGATCCCCAATTTATAGCCAGTCAATCAGAAGTTTCAGAGCCTGGACTTGCCACCGGTATCTGAGGGCAGGACAGTCTTAGGGACTGAGGCTCAACCTGTGGGATCTGAGTTTATCTCTAAGTAGACAGTGTTAGAACTGAATTGGAGGGCACAGAGCTGGTGGCCACTGCTTGCTGTGTGGGGACACCAACCCTGCCATATTAGGGCATGGAAGTCTTCTGCGTTGCTAGCTGCTGTGGTGGGGGAGGAGAGGAAAACCAGGGTTTGAGAGATTTTCCTAAACAGCTGAACACATGAAGGTTCCTGAAGGGTGGCATGCCCCTCTCCCATGCTGGGTCCTGTGCACTTCATCATCTGTATTCTTTGTAATATCCTACGTAATAAACTAGTGAACGTAAGGGTTTCCCTGAGTTCTCTGAGCAGCTGTCACAAATTAATTAACCCAAAGAGGAGGCCACAGGATCGCTGATTTATAGCCGGTCAGTCAGAAGACAGGTAAAACAACCCAGGGCCTGCGATTGGCACCAGAAGTGGAGGCAGTCTTGCAGGACTGAGCCTCACTCTGTGGAGTCTGACGTTATCTCAGGTGGTAGAATCAGCACTGACTGGACTGGAGGACTCCCAGCAGCGTCTGCTGCAGAACAGATCGATTGCTTGGTGTATGCGGGGGAAAACACACATTTGATCATAGGTCTTCTGTGTTGACTGTGGGGTGAGAGCAGAGGAAAAGCAGTCTGTTTTTTCCCCTTCACAAGCCTAAGTCCAAATAGGAATGGTCACTTATTCACTGAACAAATCCTTAGCACCTGTCATGAGCCAGGCATTGATCTAGGTACTGAGGATACAGCAGTGGACAATTTAGAAACAGTCCCTGTCCTCCTGGGCACTGTTCCAGTGGAAAGATAGACAAGTCCATAAACAAAGGTGAAGTCGGATGCATTTGGCAATCCCAGGCAATGAAGAAAAGCAAAGGCAAGCGAGAGACAATACAAAGGAAGAGGGAGTGTGCAGGGAGGTCGTTTTATATTGGGGAAGTCACTTAGAAAGGCTGCGAAGAGTCTCTGTGTGTTTCTGTGTCTGTGTGTATATATGTGTATATGTATGTGTGTTATATGTCTGGGTATGTATCTGTGAGTATGTGCACGCATGCACACAGGGCGTGTTAATTATGTAGAGGTCTTATGTTTGATTGCTGTAAATAAAGGCTAGATGCTGTCGATTCTGTGCTTCCAATCTCCTTTATACATAGGCATATTAATAAATGCCAAAAGTTTGATGACCGTAGAGAAGAAATGTCTACATTTATTTTCAATTGACATGTCTAATCTTTGGAGAACAATTCAAATTATTAAATCATTAATTGATCTTTTAAAACATGTTTACTTCCAAGGTTTATATTCACTTTTAAATTTTAAACAAGTAAACTAATAAATGCTTTGAGGAAAAAACAAAACTACTGTAATTAGGTTATCGCCACTTTAGCATATAATTAAAGAATTTCTGCATTCTTTAAGCCCAGAATGAAAAATCTGCAAGATTATTCTACCACAACCATTGCTTTGTAATTTGCCACTGAACATATTAGACTAATTGTTTACATGCTGTTTATCTGCTCTTCATTTAAACAGAAGAGCTAGTTTTTACAGACAACACGCAAATGTATCTTGGCAGTTGGAATGGAGTCATATTTTTATCCATATGAACAATAAGAAAACGTAAACCATTAGAACCTTAGACCATTCAGGCATCTTCAGAAGTTATGAAAGCATTGCTTCATCTAAGGGCAAAGCAGCACACAGTCACTCCAGCAGCAAACACGAAGAGCTTGGTATGCTTTAGAATATAGTTAACCTGTGAGAAATAAATCGAGAGGGAAAAGCCAAGGTCAGAATATAATTGCAATATGCTTTTATTTTACTGATGCATTTTTGCACTCATTTCTTTTTTATGTTTATGTCAAACACAGAAAGAACTGAGAAAAAAGTTAAATCTAATTATATAATAATTTCTCATTGACTGTTGGACAAATGCCAGTGACTCCTTGCAAAAAGCAGAGATGAAGAGGGTACTTTTCTTAGGAAGGGAATTAATTTCTAAGAATCAGTTCCATTAATACAGACCATAAAAAATTCCAACTTCAATTTGCCAATCATGCAGGCAGCTACCGAGAGATTTCTCCTAAGAGAAATATCCTAGAGAAAATAAAATGGCAACTGGACCAGGGGAATGGGTGAATTGGTCAGATTCTCTCTACAACAAAGGATGATTTACAAGATAAACTTAAATTATAATATTCTAAGATGCATGCCATAAAAATGCCAAGGCAGTAAGATATTTTATATGATAAACATTTACATTTTTAAAATTATTAGCAAAACAATAAAAGAAACAAAATAGCAAGAGTGCTAAATGAATCCATAGAGATATTCCAAAAAGCAGTAACTGCATTATTTATAGTTCACTGACCTTCAAATTCAAGGATGTCAGTTTTTTAGGGCATTATTATAGCATTTAAGTAAACGCTTGAAACAGATGTGAACATTTTCTAACTTGAAAGCAAGAGTGCTTAATTCTACTTTCCCCTACTTTTTTTGCCCCTGTTTGAAGCACTGGTCCTTTCTTGCTCTGGTACTTTGACTTAAAATCTCACCACCCTCCTGTTTACTTCACATTGAATTCGTTTACTTTAGTCAGTTTTTAGGGGTCAGAAACAATGTTAGCTACAAAAAGGCATAATGATATGACTTCTATTGTTAGTTTAGTAATGCATGAGAGAAAATGTGGCTTTCTTACATAATACTGCCTTTCCTTCCAAAAGTAATTAGAAACTTCCCCAAATTTTGAAGTACTTTCCAAATTAATAATTTAGAATACTGCTAAATTCGTAAAGCCCTCTATTTTTGCCTGTCTTTGCATTTCAACATAAATACAAATGTAAGGAATAAAAATATGTATATTTTCTCACCCTATGCTAGGCTCATGCCTGAGACTCCTCCTATAAGACAGATTAACAAGAAGAAAGCATACAAGCGTATTTAACATAATTTGCATGTGACATGGGAGTCTTCAGAAATTGAGATCCAAAGAAACAGGGAAACACATTTTTCATGCTAGGTTTGAAGAAGGGTGGACAGTCTTGGGGAAGTATGGCTGGACAAAGGGGGTGTGACCTAACAGTAATAACTTGGGGGACAGGAGGGGTTTAGCAAGGCCAGTGTGTTCAGATTATTCTGTGCCCCTGTGTCTTCAGAGATAGGAATGTTTCTTTTCTCTGGGTAAAGGGTATGCACTTCTTGAATGAGGGTCTCGTGATGTGCTTCAGGGTAGAAGGGCAGAGGAAGATGAGAGAGACCTTCCTGCTTCTGCTGTTTTTTCAAATGTCAAAGCGCCATGCTTTGGGCTAGTGTGTCCTGAACCCCATTATGAGATACAAATAAAATACACACATAAAAGTTGGATATCATTTTCTGCATTGTTGCACTAACAGCCATATCTTTTTGATGCTAAAAAGTAGAATCACAAATGCTAGACTGAGGCAGATTTTAATGACATCACACCAGAAACAGCAAAGCCCAGATGCCATCTGGAAGTTTTTCTCTCATCTTTCAGTCGCAAATCAGCCAAGCCCAGAGGCAGCTGGGCAGGGAGGCAATGCAGTGCTCAGCCAAGATCGCATTCAAAGAGCTTCCAGGAAGGAAGACAGGGGAAAGCCTTCACACGTGGAGTGAGCTCTGCTGGGCCGCCAACAGAGAGACTGAGAGGTCCCTGAGACTGACAGGGGCCCAATGCAACGAAGTCCCTGAGGAACGGCTCTGAACAGAGACAGCCAAGAAGAAGATGCACCCCTTCCAATGGGTCCAACTCCCAGGCAGCAGGAACTGGAGGTCGAGGTGCGCTCAGGCTTCAGGTCACTACAGAAAGTGCAGCTCTCACACCAGCACCATGCCCGACTCATGCATCTCTTGTGTTTGCAAAAGCCCAGATCAAAGGAAACATTTCTATCAAGTGAGTGGTTACAAACCACAGAAATTGCTATTTAAAATGGATTGTACCCTTGAGGAAAGAAGATATTTCAATCCAAGACACCACCCACATTAGCCATACTGAGGGACGACTAACCTACATAAAAACTGAAAAGATAAAATCCTCAAGTTTTAATTATGTAAAGATCAAACATATAATGCAATTCTCTTTAACTGCTAACTTCCTATGGTAAATACATTATTTTGAGTAAATCAAAGAAAAACTTCACTAAATTAATGAAGACTAAATAAAAGCTTAGAAATGTAGAGCCCATGAGAAAACCAAACAGTAGAGAATTGCAAGTAAATAAGAGAAAGGCCATAGACATTTTAGGCACAGAAGATAATTCAAATTTGAGCCAGTGTTCTTTTTAGATTAATGTAACAGCACATAACATACTGAACACTTCCTATCTGTCTGTCTCATCGTTATGCATACACAATATCCTATGAGATAGGCACTACCATATGCACATCTGAAAGATGTGGAAGGGAAGGCCCAGCGAGGTGAAGATATTTGTCCAGTATTCAGGACGAAGGCCAAGAGTCAGATCCGAATAATCGGACTTCAGAACCCAAATTCTTAACAGGTATCCCACAGAGATTAAAGCAGTCAGATGCGTTATAACAAGATAAACTGTAGGTGGTATAAACCCACTGGCATGGCAGTACTAAACATAGCAGGCCAATGCAAAGAACGCGTGTGCTTTATGTCAAGAAAGGTTAATTTTAACTCTATCAATCACAATGCATTTTTAAAAAATCCCACAAGTGAAACTAGTAAGGCAAACAAAAGCAGTTGAAGCAAAAAGTGTCACTTGAGCAAAAGACATTAGCAGATAAAATGATAAGGGATCTTGAACTTCCCAAAGCTCTACCTAATCTCATATCTTAAGTGTCAGGATCAGTCATTGCAGAACCTTGAGGAAGAGAGAGAACAGAGAAGAGAAGAGAGGAGAGAGAAAGAGAATGCTAATGTAGGAACATTTTGGGAGTGTAAGGGAAGAATATTCAGAAAATCTTTATACAATTTTTGCAATGTTTGTGAAAGTCTGAAATTATCAAAATAAGCATTTTAACTAGTAGTTATAACTTTACAGACAAAGAAAGATAAATATCTTTAAATGAGAATTTGAAGTGCTTAATATTCTATTGAATAGATATGGACTTTATATAGTGGTTTATCTTTAAATAACTGAAACATGAAAGTTTGTCTTACATTTTTACATGTATTAAACAATGTGTTATAAGAGTTCAAATCATCAAAATGAGAGTGAGCATAATACCAGCACATGACCCAGACATCACCAAAGACGACGGCTACATGAGTGTGCTGTTTCCAGGACAAGTGGAAGAGCACACACAGGGGGCTAAGGTGATTAGTGCAGCAGAGCACACTGCACAGCCTGCAGAAAATAATGTGGAACTGGGAATGGAGCTATGGAGACCACACCTCACAAGTCTGGGATGAGACCAGAAGCATTTGGACATGAATCAAAATTTTGACACCAATGCTCAGCCGATAACAGCAGCCTCTGAGCTCTCGTGACATACTCCTCAAAGAAGCATGCAAAGTTGTTTCATTCCCCAATTGCTCCATGAAAGTGAGTCAAGTTGTATTTCCCGATTCAGAGTTTCAGCTTCAGCTCATGTGTCTTGTGGCAAACAACAAGGGAAATTTTCATACAGAGGTGTACGCTCCACAAACAGAGCTACAGTGGGCACTGCGGGGACAAAAACACTTCCTCCACCTGCTTTGGTTCAGTGGCTTGAGCCTGTGAACAAAACTGATAAAAGACACATTGACCGGAGAAAAGCATAAAGGTAGTATTAATATTTTGAATTTTGTGTGCACAAGGGCTCCACACACACAAAAAAAGTTAAAAAAAAAAAAAAAAAGAAGTAGTTAGACTTAAAAGATCACATACCATTTTAACAAAAGGCAATAAACAGTTAGACTTAAAAGATCACATACCATTTTAACAAAAGGCAATAAACTGTAAGGAAATGATTAGACAAAGGAGAGAGGTTTTAGTCTTCTAGAGGTGATAACTTTCCGGAAGGTGACTAGGAAATATATCAGGGAACGAATGAAAGTAAGCGTTATTTTATAAGGTCTGTTTATACTGATTTGTCTTGGTGCTGGCTCTCCATCTCTGGTGATAAAGGTAGCTCTCTTCATCCTTGTTCAGGAGAGGGGAAAATTCATGTCATTTTCACAAAGACAAGTTTATGCATTGCTTTTAGGCACAAAAGGGTAGATAATTTTTCCTGCATCTGTTGATTCTCAACTGCCTTCAGCTCAAAATAATCCTTACGTCAAAGAGGGTTTTTTTTTTTTTTTTTTTGGAGTGGCATGTTCTGGACCCTTCAGCACCTTTCCACTCATGTCTAAAACTCCAGGTTTGTTATCCCTAAATGATTGCATTGGCCTGTATTTTTGGCATGAATTTGATTTTGGAATCAAATTCATTCTTAGCTTCTCACCAAAGCGAAGTGTGGCTTTTTCTCCCTATTTTCTTGTTTCTTCACCACAAAGCCTCAGTTCAATTGACCGTGTCAGCCAGCTCCAAGAGCTGAAATTAGATGTGCCTAGTATAAATCAATAGAAAGGAAATCAAAAGTAAAAGCCCAGTGTCTTAGTCTGTTTTTGCTGCTATAATAGAATACCATAGACTACTAAGTAATTTATAAAGAAGAGAGATTTGTCTGTCTCAGGGTCCTAGAGACTGGAAAGTCCAAGACTGTGGGGCCACAGGTGGTGAGGGCCTTCTTGCTACATCCTAACATGGCAGAAGGTATCACATGGTGAGGCAGGGCGCAAGAC